AATAATAATAATAATAATAATAATAATAATAATAATAATAATAATAATAATAATAATAATAATAATAATAATAATAATAATAATAATATAAAACTGTCATTAAAACTGATCATGGTAAAGTAGGTTTACTTCTAAACAAATGCTCTCTTGTACATTAGCATGTTTTGCCCAGTGTGAATTGAGCAAGGATTTGTTCTATTGATACAGGAATGGACTTGTCAGGATCAAAAGGACTGCATGAACATGCATGCAGCCTGTTTATAGCCAGTCCTATAGCCTATGTAAGCAGTTTATCCCTCAGAGCCAAGCGGGATCTCAAATATTTCACAAAGTAATTCTGCTGGTGCTTCTGAAAAATATTTTACTGGAAACATACATATATGTATCCACTGTCAGTCTTTGGCATTCATAAGTTCTCCATAAATTGCTTGAAAACCTTTATTCTCTATTCCCACACAGAAAAACAGTGCTCTTTTTATTGGAAAAGGTGTTTAAAAATACTAAACTGAAGTATATACATTTTTTACCTATTACCTGATTATTACCAGAGAATAATGGCTTATTTTATTAGGTTCCTCTGTGGAGTCGTTTGTGTTACAAATTTGTCTTCCTGTAATAGCCCAAAATAAAGAAACCATCAACTGGCCATTTAGTGAATAATTCATCTGCTCTTAAAAAGAAAAGGCCCCACTAAATGGGGCTAACCCTTTTGGTGTTTTTTCTTATTTTTCATCCTGCTTGATTATCAAAGAAAGCAGGGAAGATTGAGGGTTTATTTAATTAATATACAACATCACAATTTAAATGTTGCTAAGTCCTCCACCATTAAACATCTGAATAATTTCTGTAAGCACTCAGACTACATTAACGGGGTTAAAAGGTGGGATGGTATTGTTGAAGAAAGCCTCTGTATTCCATTGTTATTCTGCTTTAAATCCAATATAATTTTTCAAATTATGGATGTTTAATCCTTCAGTCAAGCTTGTTTATAAGAGCCTTTCTGAAGTGAGAGGAGTGTTGACAAAGAGCACTGGGACCTACACAATTGGCATTAAGTACAAATTTGAAAGGCGTTCTCCCAGTTATAAATGCCCTTTTCCCTGATGTGTAGGATTAAATCAAAGGCTGGATGTAGAGGATAAATAATGACATACTGCTTCGATGACACATCTTCCAAAGAGACTATTTAATTGAGAGCAGACAGAGCTTGCCGGCAACTATAATTACTGAGTTTCTCTGGAGATACTTACCACAGCATCACACATGTCTCTCTCTCTCTTTACGTCTATCTCTCCTGTTTTTTTTTTCACAGTTGTTTTAGTGGTTGTTTTTGGGATCTGCTGGGCCCCATTTCACACTGACCGCCTCATGTGGAGCTTCATCAATGACTGGACTGACAACCACAGAGAAATCTTCGAGTATGTGCACATCATCTCCGGAGTGTTTTTCTACCTCAGCTCGGCAGTCAACCCAATCCTGTACAACCTCATGTCCACACGCTTCAGGGAAATGTTCAAGGAGGTCATGTGCCATCGGCCGCATCACATCACTCCGAGGAAACACTCGCTCAGTGTCACCAGAGTCACACTCCGCAGCACCCTCAGCGACGCCCCCCTCAGCAACGGAGCCGCTGTCATCGAAGCTGAGGCTGAGGATGGAGAAATGAGAATGAAGGAGACCACTTTTTCAAGTTAAGAAAAAAAGGGAAAAAAAAAAAAAAGGAATGGGACATATTGTTCGCACGTTGACATTCGGTTTTAAAATGCTGGCTGGTTTGAAGCCAGTGCCCCCATCACCTGTCGTCAGCTGCCACTTTTTTTACATGCAACTCAGCAAAATGTTGTGGAAAAGCTGCAGAAAAAGGTAGACACTGTAGGGCTGAAAGCTGAACCCATAACCTTTCCGTCGTGTTTTACTTGACTTCTATAGTTTTATAAATACATCTGAGATGACACACGGTTACGCATGCAGATAAGTTAAGATATGAACCATGAATGTTGTTGATTTCTGCCTCTGTCAGAATGAAGCCAGTTTTATTGAAAGGGTGTTTTGGAAAGCGCTCATTCATTTGCCATGGAAAAGGGAATTTGCCTAACATAGTGACAGGTTTCATATGTATAAAAATGTTATCATTGGTTTGGATGTCAATGTGACATTAAAAAAAATATGCAAACCTAAATGTTTCATTTCAACATTCCTTCATTTCAAAAGTAAACCATCTCACTTCCTGTACAGCAAATATTTGTCAAATGTCAAATGAAAGGTTCACTATGGATTATTGATATTGTTGTGTGTGTATGTCTGCGCTGCTTGTGTTTTCTGTCTGTTTCTTCTGTGATTTAACTATTTTAAGTTCAACAGTGTCCTGTATTGGCGTTCTGTATTTTGTGAAGTTATTAAAGCTCTGATGATGACTTTGAGAACAATTGCTGCTTGGATCCGTTCGGTTGAGTTGTTGAATTACGAAACTCATATTTCTGACAACTGTTGACAAAGTTGATGATTAAATAACATTTGTCTGAACAATAGTGATTTATTTTCTTTTGAATGTGAAATTTTATTTTGATACGATATATCATGATTATCATAAACCCATAATTATGGCAGCTAAAACAGAAATACATATTATCCCCAAAAAATGTGACCTATATAACTCTTATTTTGGCATTTAACAGCTCATAATATGTACTCTTACGGACAGCATTATGAGTTATATCTTTATACATAAAGGTTTTTGAAAATATGGTACTCTGGAACAAGCGAGTCGCATGTGTTTTCTTAACATGACCAAAAAATTGCAGAGGTTCAAGCCTGTCAATGAAAATCACATTCGAAATGGTTTCACGGCTGTCAATGTTGGGTTGAAAATATAAAGCTGTGGGCAAGGTCACCTCTCAAAAAAAAAATAGCGTAGCAGGACATTCTGTCTACAACATCATGAAAACGTACAAGTACTTTTCGATCTCGAACAATTTAGACAGTGAAAGCTTTTCAAGGTACATTTATTGAAAAATAGCATTGGACAACAAGTTTTGTTCAAACTTCTTCAGAATGGCCAAAAAGCTATGGAGTTAAAGCTCTTTGCAGCTTTAATTGTAAAAGTCCAAAGCCATTAAATGGATAGCTGTAATGGCTATTTTTCTGTTAACCGTTTCTCAGTTAAGCGGGTTAAATGTTTATTGGGTCCAAAGACGTGTATGTGTAGGTCATTGTTAGGCTGAGACATCAAAAGAGATCCATCAGAAAGACAGCACAAACATGACAGGTGACCTGATCAACAGTTGGGTACGACTGAAGACAAAACTGAGGAGCGTACACTGGAAGCTCAGCAGCATAAGGGCATTCATGTTTTGGGGGACAACGGAGGACTGCAGGACTGATTGTCAAAGAAAATGCCTGTCATTGTGTCACAGCATCCATTCAAGTGAAAGGTTCCCTGAAGGTAACAAGCGCCCATGAAAAAGAAGAGCAAACCTGTTAACCATTCATATGCTGATATGATATCATGTCACCTGCATCATGCAGTAATAGAATTTCTCATGGAATTTACATAACTGCATGTGTCATTTCAATGATATAGATGCAGTGGTGAAAAGGAATCAGGGGGGAAATTCCAAGGAACAGCATGTCAGTTTTTATTTTTTCAGTAACTTTTTGTGGTAGTTTTTTCTATGTAAACCCTCTAATTACATCTTTCAGGACTGATTCATTTCGACTCTTTGATCTGACTCCACTGAGATATTTCAGTATGCTCTATCGCAAATGTAAATCTTTGAGTCAGCACATTCTGACAGAGAGACAGATGGCCCACTGTCATATATTTAAACGTCCTGAGCTTCCATTTGTAAACCCCATCAAGAAAAAAGCCATATAGGAAACATAGATTCAAATGTCGGAAAATATCTACGGTATGTCTAATGGAACCAAACTTCATTTTTGTGGACAACTGTTTGCAAAAGCAGTGATGGAGAAAATCAAAGCAAAGAAGGTGAAGAGGTTGATGATGGGTTTCTCTGCCAAAGCACACATTCCAAGTTCTTTTGTCACTTGGGTGTAAAGTCAGGTGATGCACACTGAACCTGAAAATTAAGAACTGCAGCATAGCCCTGAGTTCCTTTGTTGTCATGGCCACAGCCTTCTCTCTCTCCGTCTCCCCTCCCTGTCCATTGTGCTCATCTGGTATTGGCTGAGGCTCGCCATCCACGTCCGTAAATATGACACAATGGCCACCACATTGTGAATGCTTCAGTCTCATTAGTCAAGGCCAAACCCACACCTGACTTTCATACATGATGCTTATTCATTAAGCTCTCCTCACACCCACAGATCCACCATTACCGTGCGACGCAACCAGTCGCTTCTTAATGTGTTAAAAGATTTTAGATTTAGAAGCTCATACCAAGACTATTGCAGCACCTGATCCCTTATATTTCTTTGCTAATCATCCTTCTTTGACTCTGCTTTAGGGCTGTCAGACTCCAACTGTGAACTTTTGTGACTTTTTCACTATAAATGCAGACTTCTAAAATATCCACTGACGCCTCTTCTAAAATTAGATTTTTCAACGCATGAACCTGCATAAGTTTGAATTATTCAGTGAGCATGAAGCCTTTGCACCAACGGTTTGTGTGAGCATACCTAGCTCCTTCTGACAAGTTATCTGAACCAAAAGGCTACAGCCGTGGCCCAGTGCGACCACTTTTGGACGCCCGGTTCAGGCCGTTATTTCAGATCACTACCATGGCCGTGAGAATAACGTCTCAATTTCATGGTCAAACTACGTTTAATTCCAATCCAGCAAAAAGAGAGTGATGAGAATAATAATAACAAATCAAATACGGAAAGTTTACTCCGGTGAATTATTATCATATTGGCTTCTCGAAATTAAAATCCCTCAAACAGAACCAAACACTTGCTGAATTGAAATGTGTGATTGACATGCAGACTGAATTCTTGCAGGCCTTCATAAAATGCCTCTGTGACATATTTGAAGTGTTCAGTCTCATCACATCATACCAAGGCTGTGTGAGATGGTGATTAAAAGCTGCAGACACAATGAATCCTTCGATCTTTGCAGTGTTATTCATTACACTAAAGTGTAATGAATGGAACTGTGGTTACACAAAAAATACAATGTAGCCGAGCATCCTAGCTAATGATATGCTAGTATTGATTCTTGGGAATGGAATGTAAAACACATTTATCTTGTCTAAGCGTTACGGAACATATCCCTCTCCTCTTAAAACTAACTGACAAGGACATTTAAAAAAAAGGAATGGATGATCTATTGTGGAGATCAGCTTTGGGAAATTATAATAGTCTGAAGCCAATGATTCAACTTTGTTAATTGGAGATTAGACCACAAGAGGGTTTAAGGGAATAGATTAAGCTGCAGCTATGCTTCTCTAAAGCTTATTAAGAACATATTTGAAGACCTCGACAAATCTAGCTAAGTAAAGAGACGATTTAACTCCAGTCAGGAGTCCAGTTCAAAGCAAAAAGCGATATTATATACAGTACATACATGTATAAGGATGAGTCATGAGCTCATCTCCACAATCTTGGCACAACTTGCCCTGAATCTATTCTGATAAACCATTGTTTGAGCTCTGGCGTGCGGCCGGGCTGGCACAGGCACACTGGAGTCAGATTGCTGCCATTAAGAGCAGCACAGCAGCTGCATCCTTTTATTCTTCAAGCAAAAAACAGACTTTAAGATCCAAAGCTGTGAGTTCAAAGTCCAAGAACAGAACACGGAGCTCCATGAAACAAAATCCATAGATCCTTAGCAACCCTGTTGGATGTTCTTAACTTGCTTCGAGCTATATGTTCCACTTTACAGAGATGTGTTTATGGAATCTTTTAATGTGAGAGTGACTAATGGGATTCGTTATATTGACTGAACTACCAGTTAGTGAATTTTTGGAAAGTATTGGCCTATTATAGAGATTTGATGCTTTTAATCCCCAGAATTATGCTCTAAAACACTGTTTTAGGTTTTATTTTTCTTTGACTCACTTTCTCCTTTTCTTCTCCTGGCATTGATAATGTGGAGGTGCGTCATAGTGTGTTGCATGCTGAGTTTGGAGCGCTATCTTATTAGCAATGTTCTCATGTTGCCGGTTACTGCTACCAATGTTGCTAAGATACCTTTTCTTTTGTTAGACTTAAATGTTGGACGGGAGTGATCAAACCTGATAGGGAGGGGAAGAAATAAAGAATGATAAGGAAAGATAAGGCGATGCTTGGGAAAAGAAATTGAGTCACACCTGCAATGCACAGAGTAACAACACAGATCCACACCTCAGGCTGAATCCCCTCAGATTACCCTCCACCCATAGGATCAAGGCCATAGCACCTAACCAAGGAAATTAATTTTCTAAATGAGTGATACCGTCACTTTAAGGAGTAATTAAAATTAAACTTAATTAATGTGAAAAGATCACTTATAATTATAAACCAGTGAAGCCAATTATTTGAATCATTATTACCCACCTATAAACTCCTGAGATCATGGCACAGTTGAATAACGCTAGGATTAACACTCATTACCTTGCCCGCCCGCTTCGCCCTTCTCCAACTCAGACCCACCTCACAACAATCTGGAAACTCAGGAACCCAGTAAGACCCATCCGTTACCTTAATTAGAATAATAACCCAAAACGCCTTGTCCAGTATAAGTCGCCCTCCGATCCACGAGTCAAGTTCCACTGCTTTTCC